CAATTGTGTTGCACCTTCTTGTATGCACTCCATTTCAGGCCATAACGAATCTAGTTACCCGAGTATACGAACAGGCTATCGTCGATACTCGTCTGCGGTCATTTTTCGAGAAAAACAAAGCAAAAATACAGTCGATCAAGAAAAAGATGTCGCAGTACGTTTGTGGTTTGGTCGGTGGTCCTATCAAGTATGATGAAGCCGACCTTCAACCAGCACATTACGCTATCAACATCACCAACTTCCACTTCGATGCGATCCTTGAACTCTTCAGAGGCTGTCTAACTGGAGACAATATCGACAGACCAATTGTCCGAGATTTCCTCAAAGCCTTACAGCCAGTGAGGAGGCTGGTTACAACAGGGTTCACATTGCGCAGCGAACTGGCAAAGCGGAACCTAGAGAAAGGCCGAGACCAGCTATTCAAGAAGTTGGGCGAGAGCGACGGGATCATTGCTCTCATTGACAAGCTCTTCGGCGTGCTGTTAGCTGATACGAGAGTAAATGACTTCTTCGCGAACAGGACAGAAACGAAAGTTGACTCTATCAAAAAAGGGATCGCGACAGTTCTCATTGAGACCTGGGGTGGCCCGAAGACCTACCAAGGTGGGCGCTGAGCACTTCCCTGGCTCCTGGGATCAGCTTCGTATCGTATCAGGCCGTGAGATTGCGAACATCCATCGAGATGTCGGATTGAACGACTATCATTTCGATGCATTTCTTGCTGACCTACAAAAGGCTCTGATGGGAGCCGGAGCGGATGAGCAACTCATTGACGAGGTGTGATTCCCGCCAGCTCCAAGCCGTATATGTTTCTGCCTTGAGGTTATTGTAACTGTTGAGCCCTTGCGACAGGGCGTACTCGGCCGGAAAGATAGCAATGTGACACAGTTAGCGCACAAGGACGGCGTGGTAAGACGTCGATAGCCGCGATTATTCGAACGTGGCTGGTCAGGCACTCATAGAACGCTTGGGTGGTGACCTCAACCTGGAAAGTGTTGTGGAGAGCTTGTATGAGAGATGTCAGGAGGACACAAGAACGAAGTGAACGGAGCTAGATGTATCCACTGTGAATACAGGGTGAGTAGATACTTCTTCGACAAGGGCAAGGCCAAAGCCAGACAAGTCAGAATGAAGATGTACCAGCTGCTCAGCGGGCTCTTTGGTATGCTCACTACGTAGTCTAGTCTTGAATCGGTCGTGTGCCCAGGTGGACCAGTTCAATACGACGTGGCCAACCTGAAGCCTGCTCACTATGCTATGGACATCAGAGACTATCACTTTGATGCTGTCTTACAGCTCGCTCAAGAAGTCATGAAGTGAGAGCTATGGTTTTAGTCACATCTATCTCGCAGCTAGGTCGATGGAACTCGACGGAGACGCTATCGACGACGCTTTACAAGTCATGAATATGGTCCGCTCCGACATCACCACGGGCTGCTCAGTGAGGGATCTCTATGTGGTTGAAGCAAGCGAGCACCATCGTGCAGGTTCGAACTGAGGTGGCCCGACGACAAGGCCAAATGCATGGTAACGACTTTATTTTCACCATCCTGGGTGGCGCCGAAGGT